AAAGTCTGTGATCCGGGCGCCGGAACTCACCGTGTGGAGCTAATCTCACTGGTAAAGTACCATGTGGCGCAGAACTAAAGCGAGGAAATAAACCAGGATTTCTATCTTTGTGAAAAAGGTGTTGGTTATAGATTTGTTGTTGACAAAACTCTTGTCTATTCAGCTGTTATGGTCCCAGCTGGATTCGTCTGCATATCTGGCAACCTGAGTCAGGGCGAGTGGGAGAGGCTGCAGTACCACTTTTGGCCACATTTTTGCACGTTGCTCCTTTAAAGACCTTATGCCGGGTTTGATTTATTTAGAAATACAGTTTTAATACCATTTTATATTAGAAGAGAACTACTAAAGGTTTCAAAATCAGTTGTTGTTTTTTTTGTCTGATCCCCCCCAAATCGAAATAACCCCATAGCAACGCCCTTAGAAACGAAAACACTTCACAGCCCTTGGTGACGTCAGAACGGGTACGTTTCAACGCTGTAAGTTGTTTACAATTTGGTATTCGTTCTTTTTTCGCGGATATTCAAGATGACAAGGCCGTGTACAGCGAGTCTGACATAAATACTAGAATGTTACATTTCGTTGTCACTGAGATAGTCCAGTGGTTGTGTCGATGGACTGCCAAACCAGATACTTGGATTCAAATCCCACCTCGGACACTTTTTCACACTCAATACGGCAATTAATGTGTAGTGAGCAATTGTCACCTGTAGAGGGCAGTATTGTGTTGGGCATCAGTGGAGAGAAGAGAGAAAAGGCAGTCCTGTGGCATAGATCCATGGTTTTCAATGCATGGGCGTTACCCGCTGTGACGTCATACACAGGTTAGAGCATAGACAGCTTAAATTCATGAAAAACACATTCTTTTTATAAAATATAGGATTTTTTTTGCCGGAATCTCTTTCAAATTGACATTGTCATGCAATTTTGATATCCACTATTTTTTTTTTTAAAACCCGTCATAAGGTCTTTAAATCCGATTCAGATTTATTTGCCATTTGCAGTAAAAGCACATTGGAAAACATCTGCAGAAGTCCCCAGTGTGCACCAGACAAGTACATTTATAAAACAAGTTTAAAAATACAGAATAAGATAAGATAAGATAGACTTTATTGATCTCACACAGGAGAAATGTCACATCTGGCATGGACAGAAACACTCAAGATTGTGCAAAATACAGAAATGTGCAAAAATGTTAAATGCAGGATATATCATGTACAATAAAAAGTGGCAATCAAGAAACAGTGTCAATAGTAGTGCAGGTTTTTCAGTCCTAATGCAAGTGATCTAGAGTGACTTATTGTACAGTCTGACAGCGGTGGGGATAAAGGCCCTGCGGTAGCGCTCGATCAAACTAAAACAGTTCCAATAGATTTGAAGATAATTTAAAGTGCTGTGTTTAAACTGATAACAGTTTGTGGAAAGAAGCTGTTAGAAAAATGAGTCCTGTATCTCAGCGAACGATGTCTCCTGTCCAAGGGAAGAAGCTGGAACATGGCTTTTTCAGGAGCCAGAAGAGTCATTGATTATTCTAAGAGCTTGGTTTAAAAGTCTGGATTCATAAAGAACCTCCAGAACAGACAGAACACAGTCCTCTCTCAGAGCAGAGCAGCTTGTTTAAGTGTTCAGATGTTATTTTTATTTCTCTGTGTTACCAACACTAGTACAGACTAAAGTCAGATGCATTAGAATGTTGTGTGTTGAATATGTATAGTGCTGATTGCATGATTAGATACTTGAACCCACCAGACGTATAATTTGGTTCGAAAAGATTTATTTCTTTGCTAATCATGAAACATGTGATATGGTTTGTCGACCCCACAGAAATATTGCTCAACATTTGCAAGAGGGAACTGAGTAGAGATCATGAGAGTGCAAGCCCCCGGAGCCTAAACCCCATGATGGCGGCAGCAATGGGGGAGGCAGGTTGCTGCACAAACAGTAGCTTCATTCAGAGACTGTGAGGCACTGTTTAAATGCAGCCATGTGATACAGGTGATCGCACGTTTACATGTTGTAAATGTGCCAAATGTGTTTTTTACGGAAAAGATTCAAGTGTGGCAGGTGGGACAGTGACCGTGGGAGATATTTCAGTCTGAGCAGGGGTGTCCAAACTTTAGTTCTTCCAGGGGCTGGCAACGTAATAATAAGCATTTTGGAGCAAAAAAATGTACAAGAAACTACATGTAGAAAATCAAAATTGTGCATAAAAAACATTACATGTGTTACATTTACATAACACAAAGTTATACATATTATATACACAAGAGAAACACTTCACTCCACTGCAGATACTCAAAAAACAGATAATAATCAATGATTATAATTGAATAATTGTAAAACTGTTTAACTGGGTTCAGGCTGTTTGGGACTTTAACATTGGGTATGATGTGTCCATATTGATTCCCACCAAAGCTTAACAATTTAATGGAATTTTTGGACACAATCAAAACAAATTCCAGAAGTTCTGAGATTTACATTGGTGTAGCTGAAGTTGGCTGGATGACACTGTGAAAGAACCACATTGGCTAGACAGAGGGTCTAATGAAATGACACAGTGGGCTGTAGTTGGACCTTAGTTCTTAGTTTGGACTTTGAAAACCATGTCATGTCCACACAACAATTGGGATTCTTTTTTTGTCCAAGGTTAAAGGAGCAATATGTAATATTTGCATGTCAAGTCATCATTAAATGACCCGAATATTTCAAAAGGCGTTATTAAATCATACTCTTTTCGAATTCATCTTTAACTGATAACAGTAGTTCAGCCGAGATATTTTATTATCAAAATTAGTTTTACGACCCGTAAAAGTTGTTATTGTTTTGATTTTGATGTCCTACCCTCCGCCGTTTCGCCAATCAGGAAGTGTCATGTAAGTCCGTGATCGGGTTGCCAGAACTCCGAGCGGCTCAGTAATCTCAGAGGTAAAATAACATGTGGCGCAGAACTAAAAAAGGTCTTGTTATGACTCTCAAATCATTAATGACAAAACAAAGACTAAACCGAGGATTTATATCGGGATGCCTTTGAACAATTGAGACAGCTGATAAAAGTTCACGTGTGATGCAGAATTTTCTAGTTTGAGTCCGTCCTTTACAGTGTCTCTACTCGTGTGAATCGGTGTCTAGTGGTCTAAACTGTGCGCTTACGATGCAGGAACCCGGGTTCGATTCCGGGCTATGTCTTTTTGTATTTATTGCATGTTATCACATTCTATGACAGATTGCTCTAAAAACGGTAAAAGATCAAGACGTTTATTTGCAGATTATAGCTTAATTGTAAAAATAATCATTTAAGACCACATGTACCCCAATTAAAATAATGTTAGTCTCTTTTTGATGTGGGACTTTCACATGTTTGTCTAAAAAATAGGGAATTAATAAAATTGAAAGATGATATCCTCTTGAGCAAACCCTGATGTTGATACGCTGAAGAAATACGTTCCAACATCCATTCTTCCCACTCCTATTTTGGACATCAATTGCTTATTTATTTTGCATAAACTATGTATAATTACATTGCTTTTATTTTGTTTTTGTTTTTTATCTCAAATGTCCAAATAATAATAATAAAAAAACATTAATCAAAACATTCATTCAACATTAGCACGGCTCATGGCAATGTGAATGGAGACGGACAAACAACTGATAAAATAATTCCCTGTGTTTGCTGCTGGATTTGGTGTGAATCTGGCAACCTGAGTCAGGGAGAGTGGGAGAGGACTACAAAATATTGACTGTGACTGCAGTACCACTTTTGGCCACATTTTTACATATTGCTCCTTTAAGGGGAAGCTTTGCAAGTTTCAGATCCCAATTATTTATTGATGATAACTTTTGGCCGCAATGTCTTCATCATGCATCTGCTAATTGACATCGCTAACTTGAAAGTGCGCTGCTTCTTTAAACTTCCGATGATTTTACTCTATCTCCACATCAGAAGGAGTTTTACGCGCTTGCAACTTTTTTCTCTACTCACTTGTTTTCAAACCTGACAATATCCCGCTGCCTATTTGTTGTTCCCGAGTGGTAGTAAAGGTATAAATCAAAACACTCCTGAAGTAAAGGGTCAAGATATTAACTTGTGGCCTTGTCTACACACAGAAGACTGCAGAGGTGAGAAACAGCCCCCAATGACACGGCAAAACAGAAATACTGGACAAGAAGCAAAGAAAAACATGTGTTACTGTGTTAGAGCTGCACTAACTCACACTCACAAAGCTATCACCCCCCACTACCCCTCCCTCTCTCAGCCTGTGCTTATGTGCTAACGGAGCTCACGTCTCACAATATGGGTCGCACATTTGAACGTGGATGGCGTGACGAGACTTTCTTTTGGCTGTTTCTCTGAGTAAGCAGTAACCGGTAACGAAGACACGGGAAGTTTCAGGTTAGCCTCCGCCGCTTGTTTACCTCAGCTGTCTGTGCTAACAAGAGACCTGTGGCTTTCCTCAAAGAAAGCGGGGGCCAGTGGTCCGCTGTGATTGGTCACAATCTGGTCCTGAAACACATTCTCTTCCTTGTTGCAAAAAAACTCGACCTAAAATCAAATAACATGCCAGCACAAACCTGCGCTACGTATTCTTTAAAAGGACGTATTTCCCACTGCACTGCATGGACATGGGTTGAATTTAAATAATTAATACAAAAATAAAGTCAGGTAATGCAGCTTTAAAGAGATATTCCTCCTGTTTGAACTGTCCCAGGAACGAATGTAATCACACTTCCAGAGGATTGATAAAAGATAAAAAGACTTTCAAACAAGCTCTGCAGGAAATCCGCCAACATGAATCATCTCCTCTGATTTCAAACTTATTTGTCCGTGTTGGGAGTGCACAAAGTCCTGGCCCGTCTTCAGAGGAAGCAGCCCGACAAAGAGCGGAGGACACACGCTTTTTGAGGAAAGTGGAAAATGACTTCAGAGAAACCCGAGAGAGACTATGGGCTGTCAATCAAACTGAAGTCACTGAAGTGTTCATCACAGCACTTTGGATCAGTGAACCATGTGTGCGGTCAGGAGTGTGTGCCATGACCATGTATACGGTCAGGAGTGTGTGCTGTGACCATGTGTACTGTCAGGAGTGTGTGCTGTGACCATGTGTACGGTCAGGAGTGTGTGCTGTGACCATGTGTACGGTCAGGAGTGTGTGCTGTGACCATGTGTACGGTCAGGAGTGTGTGCTGTGACCATGTGTACGGTCAGGAGTGTGTGCCGTGACCATGTGTACGGTCAGGAGTGTGTGCCGTGACCATGTGTGCGGTCAGGAGTGTGTGCTGTGACCATGTGTACGGTCAGGAGTGTGTGCCGTGACCATGTGTGCGGTCAGGAGTGTGTGCTGTGACCATGTGTACGGTCAGGAGTGTGTGCTGTGACCATGTGTACTGTCAGGAGTGTGTGCTGTGACCATGTGTACGGTCAGGAGTGTGTGCTGTGACCATGTGTACTGTCAGGAGTGTGTGCTGTGACCATGTGTGCGGTCAGGAGTGTGTGCCGTGACAGTGCAGCTGGTGTCTCCATATTTAATCCCCACATAAACGTAATTAAAGTATGGGTAATAATCCAGATTACCGTCTGGATCCAGGACTCTTGGAGGAGGTCGGCGCTTTATGAATCGTTTATTATGGTTTATTATGAGAAACCCATCATTTCTTATAGCTTTTATCGATTGTTTATTTGGAGTTTAATTTACAATAATTTGCATTGTTTCTGCAATACTTCAACATACAATCTTTTCAACATTTGCATCTTACTTTTGAATTAACTTGAAAACCGCAGCAGGTCCTGAGTAGCTCTGAAACAGTTGCTGTTTTGTGCTTCATACATTTTATTTTTCTTGCTTTTTTCTGCCTGAGATGTTGCTGCAGTACAGTGTTTATGGTTTTGCACTGGTCCAGACCAGAGCAGAGAGGATTCATGGTTTTACACTGGTCCAGACCAGAGCAGAGAGGATTCATGGTTTTACACTGGTCCAGACCAGAGTAGCCTCATGGTCCGAACCAAGTGGAGCAGCCGAAAATCCACTGGAGGAATGCTAACTTTTTGAAAAATTCCAATGAAGCATTTAGCATTTTACTTTGGACCAGAGCAGAGAAAATGGTCCGAACCAAGCGGCTGCTCCACCTTGTGACCCGTCCTGCTCCACCCAGAGGCTACTCCACCTCTGCTGCTGTGACCTGTCCTGCTCCACCCAGAGGCTACTCCACCTCTGCTGCTGTGACCTGTCCTGCTCCACCCAGAGGCTACTCCACCTCTGCTGGTCTGACCCGTCCTGCTCCACCCAGAGGCTACTCCACCTCTGCTGCTGTGACCTGAAGGGCTGTTGCTGATTAATACTATAGTTAGCTAATTTGAGTGATCAAAAAAGCTAACAATAGTCATTACAGAATTACTATTGCAACAACACATCATCAGTAGGGTAAAACAAACCTGTCTCACAACGGTTAGTTTTTTATTTTGGTCTGAGAAATTCAAGTGTCCAGTAGCAGCAAAAATAAAAAATAAAATTGATCATTCTAAAAAGTAAAAAATTGTAATATCAGCAACAGCCCTTCAGGTCACAGCAGCAGAGGTGGAGTAGCCTCTGGGTGGAGCAGGACGGGTCACAGCAGCAGAGGTGGAGTAGCGTCTGGGTGGAGCAGGACGGGTCACAGCAGCAGAGGTGGAGTAGCCTCTGGGTGGAGCAGGACGGGTCACAGCAGCAGAGGTGGAGTAGCCTCTGGGTGGAGCAGGACGGGTCACAGCAGCAGAGGTGGAGTAGCCTCTGGGTGGAGCAGGACGGGTCACAGCAGCAGAGGTGGAGTAGCCTCTGGGTGGAGCAGGACGGGTCACAGCAGCAGAGGTGGAGTAGCCTCTGGGTGGAGCAGGACGGGTCACAGCAGCAGAGGTGGAGTAGCCTCTGGGTGGAGCAGGACGGGTCACAGCAGCAGAGGTGGAGTAGCCTCTGGATGGAGCTGGACAGGTCACAGCAGCAGAGGTGGAGTAGCCTCTGGGTGGAGCAGGCCGGGTCACAGCAGCAGAGGTGGAGTAGCCTCTGGGTGGAGCAGGACGGGTCACAGCAGCAGAGGTGGAGTAGCCTCTGGGTGGAGCAGGACGGGTCACAGCAGCAGAGGTGGAGTAGCCTCTGGGTGGAGCAGGACGGGTCACAGCAGCAGAGGTGGAGTAGCCTCTGGGTGGAGCAGGACGGGTCACAGCAGCAGAGGTGGAGTAGCCTCTGGGTGGAGCAGGACGGGTCACAGCAGCAGAGGTGGAGTAGCCTCTGGGTGGAGCAGGACGGGTCACAGCAGCAGAGGTGGAGTAGCCTCTGGGTGGAGCTGGACAGGTCACAGCAGCAGAGGTGGAGTAGCCTCTGGGTGGAGCAGGACGGGTCACAGCAGCAGAGGTGGAGTAGCCTCTGGGTGGAGCAGGACGGGTCACAGCAGCAGAGGTGGAGTAGCCTCTGGGTGGAGCAGGACGGGTCACAGCAGCAGAGGTGGAGTAGCCTCTCTGGGTGGAGCAGGACGGGTCACAGCAGCAGAGGTGGAGTAGCCTCTGGGTGGAGCAGGACGGGTCACAGCAGCAGAGGTGGAGTAGCCTCTGGGTGGAGCAGGACGGGTCACAGCAGCAGAGGTGGAGTAGCCTCTGGGTGGAGCAGGACGGGTCACAGCAGCAGAGGTGGAGTAGCCTCTGGGTGGAGCAGGACGGGTCACAGCAGCAGAGGTGGAGTAGCCTCTGGGTGGAGCAGGACGGGTCACAGCAGCAGAGGTGGAGTAGCCTCTGGGTGGAGCTGGACAGGTCACAGCAGCAGAGGTGGAGTAGCCTCTGGGTGGAGCAGGCCGGGTCACAGCAGCAGAGGTGGAGTAGCCTCTGGGTGGAGCAGGACGGGTCACAGGAGCAGAGGTGGAGTAGCCTCTGGGTGGAGCAGGACGGGTCACAGCAGCAGAGGTGGAGTAGCCTCTGGGTGGAGCAGGACGGGTCACAGCAGCAGAGGTGGAGTAGCCTCTGGGTGGAGCAGGACGGGTCACAGCAGCAGAGGTGGAGTAGCCTCTGGGTGGAGCAGGACGGGTCACAGCAGCAGAGGTGGAGTAGCCTCTGGGTGGAGCAGGACGGGTCACAGCAGCAGAGGTGGAGTAGCCTCTGGGTGGAGCAGGACGGGTCACAGCAGCAGAGGTGGAGTAGCCTCTGGGTGGAGCAGGACGGGTCACAGCAGCAGAGGTGGAGTAGCCTCTGGGTGGAGCAGGACGGGTCACAGCAGCAGAGGTGGAGTAGCCTCTGGGTGGAGCAGGACGGGTCACAGCAGCAGAGGTGGAGTAGCCTCTGGGTGGAGCAGGACGGGTCACAGCAGCAGAGGTGGAGTAGCCTCTGGGTGGAGCAGGACGGGTCACAGCAGCAGAGGTGGAGTAGCCTCTGGGTGGAGCAGGACGGGTCACAGCAGCAGAGGTGGAGTAGCCTCTGGGTGGAGCAGGACGGGTCACAGCAGCAGAGGTGGAGTAGCCTCTGGGTGGAGTAGCCGCTTGGTTCGGAGAATTTTCTCTGCTCTGGTCCAAAGTAAAATGCTAAATGCTTCATTAGCATTTTTCAAAAAGTTAGCATTCCTCCAGTGGACCTATTTCATGTGACCTACCATTCGAGGACGTATGAAATAGATGAAATGAAAATACTGTTCCTTTAAGTGAACGTCGCATTAGAATGAATCAATGAGACCATGTTCCCTCGGCTCAACACCGTCTTTAACATTGATTTTCGGCTCCCTGTCATGTGCGGTCGCTGAGCCTACAAAGCTAATCTTTTTTTGTCCTGGTGATTGCGGTGCATTGACCGAATCAGAGAAGGCGATTCATGTTGGATCCAGTCCCTGGTGGCTGATTGTCCACCAGAGCTGCTCTCGAGCCCCACAATTAGACTGCTCCACGGACTTTCCAGGTCAGCCTCCAGCGAGTAAATTCAGCAAGAGGATTTTAACATTTTTTTAAAGGGAAAAACATGGCTCTATCTTTAGCCTGCATAGTCAATCAGTGCAGTGCAAAGGGCTAGGTAAGAAAGGGTGTCAGAAAGAGCTAGAGATCAAGCTGAAAAAACAAAAATAAAACATCCTCAGAAGTCAGTGGGCTCTTTCAAAGTCACATCATGATCTCCCACATCTAACAACTGATGAAAAAATTGCATGAACGAAATACTTTGCTTCAGCGTATGATCAAAACTTGTAAAATATAGATTCATTTCATAACATTTCCTCTTTAGTAAATTGCATCTCAATTATTTACACGTTTTTTTCTTCCTCCTATTCCTCTTTTTTTTTTAATTGAAAGCAAATTCATGAGTCATTTCGCAAAAAAAAAGTAAATAAAGAGATGCAGTGTGTTAAAGGGGAAGAGATGAAGGTTCTGGAGTGTGTGTGTGTTTCTGTGTGCAGGCCGGCGCACACACACACACACACACACACACACACAGTCACACACACACACACACACACACACACTCACACACACAGTCACACACACACACACACAGTCACACACACACACACACACAGTCATTACAAACTCCTTGTCTATAGCGAGAGTCCCCCAGTGCTACAAATGAAAGAATGGCCCCTGCTGGTGGTTTCACATTTTCCCAACCAGTCAGGGGGCCTCGGCTTTACTCCCCCCTCAGTAAAACATCAACACGGCACTTACGCTTCAGAGGAGAAGAGAGAGTCAAAACACAGAAGCTGCTTTTGGGTAACAATACTTCATCTCTTTCTTCCAGCCAATGGCGAATATCCTCCGTTGGTGACGAGAGCGACCAAAATCTCCATCAGACCAACAAACCAGAATATCAAGACCACCACACCGTCCAACGGAAGTCACCTGATGAACCCACCGCCGCAGCCCCCCGGTAAGTGACGTGTCCTGCAGGTTCTTATTCTTGCAAAGGGTATATTAGTGCTGTCCGACATTTATTTTATTGCGATTAATCAAATGAATGTCACAGTTAAAGGAGCAGTATGTAAAAGTGTGGACAAAAGTGGTACTGCAGCCTCTCCCACTCTCCCTGACTCAGGTTGCCAGATATGCAGACGAATCCAGCTGGGACCATAACAGCTGAATAGACAAGAGTTTTGTCAACAACAAATCTATAACCAACACCTTTTTCACAAAGATAGAAATCCTGGTTTTATTCCTTGTTTTGTCGTTAATAATCGGAGAATCATAACGAGATCTTTTTTAGTTCCGCGCCACATGGTACTTTACCAGTGAGATTAGCTCCACGCGGTGAGTTCTGGCGCCCGGATCACGGACTTTCTGATTGGTGAAACGATGGAGGGCGGGACATCGAAATCAAAACAAAAACAAGCTGTAAAACTAAACTTGAAATTAAAATATCTCTGAACTACTGTTATCAGTTAAAGAAGTATTGGAAAAGAACATGTTTTATTATTGCCTTTTGACAGATTAGGGCTCTTTAATGATGACAGATTAGGGCCCTTTAATGATGACTTGACATGAAAATTTACATATTGCTACTTTTACTCAAATGTGTATCTCTTTTTTATGTCCCTTGAGTTATCATTTTCATTTACGGCTGAAGTAAATGGACTTTTGAACGAATTCTAATTTTCACCTGTATTTTAGTGATCGATCAAACAAAATGATTAACAGCCGTCTTGCACACTCTTAACTTAATACTCATTCACTTTGTACACTCTAGTGGTAGCTTTCAGCCACATCTGCCCTGGGTCAGAGCAATGGAAACATGAATGAGTTTGTGTATCCAAAATATTAAAGGAGCTATACCCGTTTCTGCAAGGTTTAAATGTCTAGCACTAAGTCTCTACTCAGCACTTTTTACGGCCTGAATTCATACACAGCTGAATCAATGAGCTCAAGTTTTACATTACATTACGGATTATAAATAATACAACCTGTCTGTAGTAATAAGCATTTTTATGAACTTATCAGAAAATAAATCGGGTGTAGCTTCTCTAAAGAAATCAGAAAATTAACCTGCAATAAAGGCACGCAGTGTGACCATTTGGAGCCACATTGTTGAAGCTTCCTGCAAAGAATCAGACTTATAATTAGTGATTTCTCATTTGTGGCTCTGAATAGGTCCCATGTCTGCCCCCTAGTGACAAATGCCGCATCCATATCTTCAGTCTTAAGTGAGTCTACAGATCTCCTTTGGCATTAAATGGGGCAGGACGGGCAGTTTTGAAGTGTAAAATCCTCCAATTTGTCTCCTGAGAATGTCAATGGAAGCAGTTACACAGACTTGACATTTTCCGCCCCATGCGCCGCCTTTCCCTCAATCCTCTCTTCTCCGAGTGCTAACGACAAGCATGTTCCATAAGTTAGGGTTAGTTTCACATCACACTTGCTCCAAAACACATCTGTGCAGACCGGGGCCGTGGATCAGTTTTAGAGTGCACCTGTCTGCTCTCGGAAATGGAAGATAGCTGAGTTATATACGACACTTTTGAAATGGAATCTTCTGCCCTATAGATAGTTATTCATGGACCGCTGGGAGCTGAGAGAGGACGCAGGCTTTTAACTTCAATAAATAGTTATTTTTTTTACTTTATTGTGTCTCATTTGGCACAGTGAATGTACAGACACATGTTTTTTAATATATATATATATACATGTGACAGTTAAGCGCATGTACACAGTTATTTTTAAAGCACCCATGTTAAATGTGTCATAATAAATACAACAAAAAAGATTAAATGAAAAAAACAACAAATTGAGAAAAATATAAAATAAAAATAAAAGGGCAAAATGAAAATGCAAACAAAATAAAACACACGAAAGGAAAATAGTTGTATAGAAACATCCAAATGGTTAAATCTAGAGTCATATCTAATATTCAATTATATCTAATACCACCATCTAGGGCGGCACGGTGGCTGAGTAGATATCACTCTCACCTCTCAGCAAGAATGTCCTGGGTTTGAATCCCGGTCGGACCAGGGCCTTTCTGAGTGGAGTTTGCATGTTCTCCCCATGTCTGCGTATGTTTCCTCCGGGTGCTCCGGTTTCCCCTACCACTAAAAACACGCACAACAGTTGTGACATGTGCCTCCTGTTCTGGCCCCGCTCCCATCTCTGTGCGGAGTGAGAGACTAATGCCCAAAAATAATAAAAATTGTAAACCGCTTTGACTCTGGTCTGTGAAAGGCGGTATATAAATAAAGATTACTACTTACTTATTAATTCTATATTCATAATTTTATCCTATTTATCATGTCTAATTTTGATTATGATTGGAGCTTATTTATATACGATGACCATCTTGAACACAACATTTTCATATAACTTTAGATGCCCACAATTCCTTTTTTCTATGTTGTATATTTGCATAATCATGATGCAATAAGTAGTTAAATAAGTGTATATTGATATTTTGTGCTTTATATAAGTGACAGAATACACAATAGAAATTATTTACAACCACAATGTTTGATTAGACGAGTTTTCCCATTGGCTTCTTCAATTAAAAGTAAAAATAATAATAATGCATTGGATTTATTTAGCGCTTTCAAGACACTCAAAGTCCCTTCACGTGTTATTTTTCTTTCACTCCATACACTGTGGTGACAAACTACTAGTGTAGCCACAGCTGCCCTGGGGCACACTGACAGAAGCGAGACAACCAGTCTGTGCCAGCAGCCCCTCCCACCACCACCAACCACTCACACACACACCAGACATTGCAACTGTCGTCAATAATAAATACTTAACTACATTTTATGAGAAGCTTCAATCAATATTGTTTACGTAGTTGGACCATTTAAAATCACAAACTTCAACAAAGCAATGTTGGAAACAAAACGGGGCAGCTCACGTCCGGATTCAATCTCACCATGTAGACCTGCACCTGCCCTTTACCGGTGACCATCAACTTCTTGCCTTGATGGATAATTGAGGGGATTTCTCTCTCCAGTCTAAGTCCCAGTGGGAAGGAGGAGGACTCAAAATGCGAGAATGCCAAAATAATGATTTAATAAAATAAAGTCCAAGGTAAAAAACAGAACTTCAAAAAACCAAAATAACCAGGGACAGACTGAAGACATGAACAAACAAGACAGTCGTTGACAATACAATGGACTAGCAACAAGGGGAGAGAAGCACAGGTACATATAGACACAGACACAGGTGAAACACATCAGGGCGGGGCAGACAATCAAGACTGGGGAACAAGACAGGAAGCAACTCAAACCAAACCACAGAAAACCAATTTCAAAATAAAACAAAAATGCAAACATAAAATCCACACCATGACAGAAGCAGTATTCATGTTTTGAGGAAAGGTGGAGTTGAGCTGAGATTCGCGGAGCATGTGGGTGAAGAGTGGGGAGAAAATATCCCAAAAATCCATCAGGGCCAGGGGACTTGTAGTTAGGCGTGTTTTAGTGCGGATAGTCATTTATTGGAGCATCCAGTCGGGGAGTCTGTTTGTCTAAGTAGGTAATCCAAGACCCCATGATATCCGAGCATTTCTACAATCCTGTAGAAATGCTCGGATATCATGGGGTCTTGGATTAAGGTCTGATGAGTATATACTGTAGTTGTTTATAAAAGATTTTAATGATTTCATCCTGGTTTATTGGTTCATTCCTGGTTTTGCATGATTCTTTGCTTTGCTTTCAGGCTGCTGACATCACATTGACGTAAGAAAGTGCAAAGTATTTTCTTAATGAATTAATCTGAGCATTCTCCCCTGCTAGCCCGAATGCTACGTCAAGTATCGCAGTCATATCAGAACGCATTTAATCATCGAGCATAGACACGATACAAAGAGCTCACATATACAGTACAGAAGCAATTTCGTTATCCACTCATGCACTTTGATTGCTTTAGTCCGTCATATTCAGTCATCATCAAGTCTTTATCTGGAATCACGCGGGCGGAAAGCAAGTGTAACAGCAATAAATAATGGAATGCAGTCCGGTCAATGCCTTCTCTTCTTTGCCTCAATGCAGCGGAGGCTAAATATAGATTAAGATTCTCCACAAGTGCCCAAAATGCCCTTTTTAACTAATCTACAGTCTACACAGCGCTCTGGTATTCTATCGGAGGGTGATGCCGGGACAGCACACCGCAGATGTCATATCGGCAGACATTTTATCTGGCAAAAGGATTAGGCTGATCTGCAGACAAATACAGAACTGCTTCCCAAAAAGTCAAGACACAGTGTAACGGGGCGTGATCTTCAAATCCCTGTGAGCAGAGTCTTGTGTTAGAACAAACAGTACATCCAGACATGGTTCGTTCATATTGTGTGTTCGTGGAGTTACTGTAGAGGTACTGGCCTTTCCGGGATGAAGTCACAAGTTGCGAAAGTGTCAGCGTTTCGTGTTGAATTTGATAGTGGTTGTTTTTCTTCTGCTTTATCCGTTGCTGTTTCACGGTAGCAGCGGTTGGAGCAGAGGCGCCCGGACTTAGCTCTCCGTGCACACTTCCCCAGCGCATACGGGGGGAAGGTCAAAGCGTTACCGGGCGAGCATGGCTTTAAAGTCATAGTAATTATTTGGTAGTAAAATTTTTCTAATAGTTTGCTTGCATCCTCAGCCAGGACGCCAGGATTTGGTTAAAAGTCATATTTGGACAAAAAGTAGAGGAGACTATATTGTCTTTAGTTATCCTTGTAGGGAACATTGTCCTCTGCATCAAAGTAATATGCATTTCAGAGGCCAAATAACACAAATTTGCTTTGTTCATTAAAACATATAACAATGTTTGCGTATAACTTATTGAACCAAGACCTTACACAGTGAACAATATTTTATTCAATGATTAAGTGAATAATGTGTTCTTTGCGGCTCTCGGTCATTTAAAGTGGAAACATTACTCACCAGGCTCAAAAACAAATCTCCTTCAAAGAGAAAACTCACG